CTGGAACCACCGAGGCCGCCGACCAAGTGATTCTGTAGCCTTATTAACATTATATGTTTTATGATTTCATTTAATTAAATCAATATTGAAATTTGTCCTTTGAAATCTATCAAATATACATGAGAAATTTCGTTTCGAGAATTCCTGCGATCAATAGAAATAGAAATAGAAATAATCTTTATTCAAATAAACTTAATATAACCACTTTTCAATAGTCAAGTTTTTTTATTCTACCGCTTATTCGGAATGCAGATTCATCACAAGAAGAATAAGCAAGAAACTTGTGTGTTGCTCTTTTAAATAAATATTGATTTACTTATATTTAATTAACAACAAGGATTAGATTAGATATTTTCTACAAAAACATAATTATCATTATAAATTCTTCAATTTTATAATAAGCTTTTTTACAAAGAAAACATTTTATGACAACTTTGAATTTTTTTTCTGGCAAATTGACTACAATGTCGTGAGGAGGTTAATTGTACAAACTCTTAGATGTTCTAAGAGTTTGTACAATTAATATTACTAGTAATAGCTCACTGGTCAAATTCGACTATAGTGAATTAACGAAAAAGAAGTACTCCTCTTTTGTGTGTAATTCTGTTTAAAATTGATTGAATGTATTTTATATGCATAATTAAAAAAAATAGTATTATGCAATCCTTTTCTATATAAACTGTAAGTGAGCAATTTTTGTAAAAGGGGTACATTTTTGCTTCACGTATTAATATATAGATGTATTTAATTAGCTAATAACTGCAATATATTTGAGGAAAAAAAAAGGTAAAATGACAGTAAATACATAACAGTTGAGATAATAAATGAAGTGCGTTACATTACGAGCCAGGAGCGTCTATACCTCCACTTTAGGCATGAAGATAAATTGACTCTGTAAAAACTTTTATTTTTTCAGACCGAAGAGAAGCGTCGTAACAGCTTGCATTTATTTTGTGAAAGATTTAAGAGGGTATATTGTACCTATGTACCTTTTAATATTTCGTAACCTCTATGGTGGGCATAGATGAATAACTCGCAAAGTCCTTTATGAGAGAATAGGACGCGATAATATTAAATGAAAATAGGTTGGAAAGCCTCGTAAATGATAATGTATTCTGTGCTGGGTGACCTCAATAAAAGTTTCATTTATGTAGACTTAAGTAAAATTAGCGAGCTTCCATTGGAGAAATACGACTGTTTTCGTTTATCGTCTTTATATATTTTATTTCCTTATTTACTATGGTGGTTAGTGTACATTTATTTCTATATTCACCTGCAAATGTACCTATCCTTATTTATCATTCTGAAAAAGGATACAGGATTTTTTATATTGCCATTTATCAATTAAGTATTACATATTTTTTTAGAGAAAAAATGTAGATTCTAGTAACTGATCATATTTTAGAAAAGGTAGTATACGGTCGGTCAGATGCTAAACTAAATTAAACAGTCTTTGATTTGCCAACGTCCAAATGATCATTTCATCAATGGTCATTCTGAAGTTTTCATCCATTTTCATAATTCGGTCAGATTTTGTTTCCCTTTTTATGATGGTAATAAAATATAACCTAAGTCAATCTAAATTATATTGTTTCCACTAGGATAAATCTTAGTATATTTTTATGTAATTGGGACACTAATGACAAACAAGCTGATGGCTCGCCTGATGAGCATCGGTAACCGCAGTCTACATTTATATAATACATTAACAGCGCTATGATATCATGCCTCGTTATCTTATAATTTCACTGTCTAATCTGCACCCAGCAACCGAAATACATCTTACAAAGCAAGCTGCTTGTCAAGAGATACCCACGTATACGCCTTTTTATGCTTCCTTGAAACTACCAGAGTTTCAATTAAATTCCATTTAGTCACAAGGTAGCATTAAAATAAACATAAAAACTGCAATGTATAAGTGGCAAAATGAATCCTATGTGAATAAGTGATTTTGAATTTAGAATACTCATATTGTTGGTTATGGGCACGCTGGAAACAAGCCGAAAGTTCATCTAATTATGTTGTAAATATCGCATCTTTATGTCATAAACAGTTTTATGGACATCACAAATGACATTGCAACAATAGTATGCTAACCGTATAAATAAAACATACGACTACTTACCATTTTGAGTATACTCAAAATGCTAAATAGTATAAATAACAGAAATGGACTTTTCCATTAGCTACATGCAGACGTAATGGATGTAGTGCGTTTTCCTCGCCACCATCCACAGAGGGGATTAGCATGAGAGGGCTCTGTCGTCACTTGAACCTTATGGGATTAAGAGACCAAATGCGAGTTCTGTTACGTATGTTTAATTATACCGTAAAACAGAGTGCCCAACTTTCTTTGTATGGTTAAATATGAGATTGAGACGGCCCTAAAAAGAGCTTTTTTTTCTGCATGAAATTCAAGATATACCTAAGTAGCAAACGATTAAGAACTCTAAGGATCCTATACGTATTCAATATTATGAGAATGTTTAAGTAAAGCAATTACGCCGAGACTAATGGTTCATTTACTTTTTAATAAAATAGAGCTTATTTTTTAATAAAACTAAATTTTGGTTATTGGACAATGTCGCAGAGAGATGCGATGAATATATTAATTCAATTGTCTCTTCACATTTCTGACGTACTATTTTGGATATAATAGCTCCACATAGGATAGACTTACATTAGAGTAGAAATAAAACGAAGTAATGAATTTAAATTCCTATATTTTATACATAAATTCTTTTTCATGAAACACTTATATCGCTCGTATTTTTTAACTAATTTGACATTATTATTGAGATATAGCAAACACCTCTAATTAATTTGATACCAATGTCAAACTTAACCAAATATTTGGTTGAATATTTGGTCAAAATTATATTGTCTTGGGTTATTCCGTCCCATCATAGCACTAACATTTTAAAAATCCCATTTTATATGTATTATATATAATGAAAATGCTAATTCTTAAATTACTGACTACAATTGAATCTCAAACACTATTGTTATAGACAAAACCTTATGATAATTATATGATACCAGCTGAAATAGCATTTAGCTTTGGCTTAAAACTGGGATAATACGTTATATGTATATATCTATAAGCGACAGATTATGTATGTATATTATAATATATCAAGAATTATAAATTTGATAGAAAAAGTGAAATGCTGCTTTTGCTTTTTATAAATAATATAGTGTCATTTTTGTAAGTACATAACAAATGGTTGTATATTTTTATATAAAACTGTCAAACAGATTTGAGCTGAAAGCAGCATCTCGTCCTCTGTAGTAGAATAATTTGTGACTTCCATACTGTAACTTCCGTTAATGTGATACAAATTCAGTCGCACCGAAGTAATAGCTACAAAATTATACAATCGTTACAATGAACTATCACAACTTACACGAATTATTTACATCTGCTCAGTGATCAAAGAAACAATCACAATATAGCATTATTATAATCGTAAGCACATTTATACTTATATACATTTAAACTCACAAAATTCTTCACAAATCGACATTTTTTCGATTAATAGACGTTATTGACATATTATTCGATATCTTAATTAATACACTGTGGATATTAGGAAGTTTTATTACATTAATTACTCATTATGATAAAATTATAACACGACAAATTGTCATTATTAATTAGATACAATCTTTTTGAAGTTAGGATTTTATTGAATACAAAATATGTTACTAGAATGTAGGTACTAGATAACTTAAATACATTTATTTAATACATTTAAGAAAACAATGTATTTCATATCCAACAATGCTAATAACGTACAAGAATTTATTTTTAGACAAGATAATATAATGAATAGAAAATACTGTTTCAAGTTGTAGGTAACATTCAATAAATATTTAATATTAAATATACTTTTAAAAAGATAACATGGAATGTATTTTAATGTAGTCTATGACGCAGTATATAAATAATTTTTATTAAATAAACGTCAATCCTCAATTTTCAAAAAAGGCACAACGGATCAAATTTAAGATATTAAAATTTTTCTAGATATGAGAGAATGAGTAATTAAATATTTCTTGTTGTTTAATTAATTTAATTTGATGTTTAATGTATAAAAAATGTATTAGTACCTAAATCGACATTGCATTAAATATGTTGTTATGTGTAAATAGAAATATAAATAAATGTATGGATAATATTACTCTTTGTAAATATTTTAATTTGCTAAGTAATAATTAATTACACAGTTTAAAATTTTGTTCTACATATTTCCTTTACAGGTCACAGTCCCGTGCACTGATGGATAAACGCTTTAGTATTTTGTCATAATGACATTAAATATTTCCAAACACTATTTCAATACATTCTTATTTATTATTCTTTCAAAAGCATAGTAAAGTTCATAAAGTAATAGAGGCGACTGTATCATCAAAAATATTTAAAGAGTCCCCGACGAATCAACGGAAGCGATAACTATCAGTTAACAGTTTATTTTTTAACAATACCATACACATTAAAAGAACTGAATTTCCTATCATGACGTCCCAGATTACTTATTTTATATTATACATCATCGCACACTGAAAATTGTCGAATGAAGAGTCCAAATAAAATCTGTTCTGTGACCTATTTATTCAGATATAGTTTTCTTAAACAGGAACAAAGTCTAACCTTTGTCGTTCTTTCCTTTAAGAAACCCTCCTAGATAAGAATCGTAAAAGTTTTTGTAAAATTATTTGGATATTTACACACGAGTTTAATTGTGTAGATTGTACCTAGTTATACTAAGAAAGAAAATCTTTTATTTTCTGAAGTGATTATATCATGAAAATTTAGAATTCTTTGATGTAAATATTAAATTTGTCAATTGATAATTTAAATAAAAATAAAAATATGTAAGACCAGCAAAATTAAATTTTAAGTTCTTTATTGATTTAAGCTCATAATAGATATGATGCTAATAAAAATGGAGATAGTTTCGTTAAAAAATGTTTATGAAAATGGGTTTGGTACTGGAAATGGTAGAAATATCTCGTTTTTCCAAATTGTCGCAATATAACCATTATGAATAATAAAATCTTCATTTATATGTTGTAATGCAAATAAAATTAGCAAGGAGGGCTCCTTAATATAATAGTATAATTTGTATGTACCTATTTCATAATTGGCAGTGTATATGTTATTATTTACCTAATTGATTATGTTACCATATTATTATTACATAATATAATTTATAAATTTATATATTATACAATAATAAGGTAATTGTTTATTTCAGTCAATAAGATCAAATCCATCGACAAAATGCTTATAAATAAATGTATAAATATCTATTCTATTTAACAACTAAAAACCACCATTTATTGGAATATTAAAAAAATCTGCTTTATTTTTGAGTTGATGGCGATTATTTCGTTATTCTACATTATTATCAATACATACAAATCGAATACTAAGGGCGTCGAAAGACGGATTATAAACATAGCTACCTATACCGTCGATAATAATGGTAACTATTAAAATCGTATTGCCATCTTTATTACTTACAAAATAACTAACAAGTCCTATAACTCCGAAGTGATTAATATTGCAAAAATACATTTACAAAAAATAATAAAAACACAAGTTGATATTTAGATACGGGTAGTTATTAATTTCGTATTAACTGTAAATATTACAGCTCAATAATTTTGCTAAATTGAATATTTTAACATGAACATGGGCGCCAGCAAGAATGTATGTATAGGTGTTGTACTTCCATTTATTAGTAATTCCAGTATCAACGCATGCTGAATAAGTATAAGCTAGACATAAGTCAAAGTTGTTTAATGTAGGGCCTATTCTAGACAAATTTATTTTTTTCTGTTGGCGCCCATGTGCAAAATTAAGAGGTTCAATTAGTCCTGTATAATTCTTGCAAAACCAAAAGTCAGAAGTAATAAAAAGACGGAGTAAGCTAAACGAAGAGAGTCTGCGGCGCCTGTCGCGCGGACGTCGCTCTCAAGCACGAAGGGCTCGTCGATGACGTGAATGATACCGTTTGTACACTCCACGTCGGGGCGGAATACATGTATCCAGTGGCCATTCCATTCTACGTAATAGTCTGTATAGTAATAATATAAAAAAAGATTAATAAAAAAAAGTAATAATTTTATCCAAAAACAGTAATAATTATTTTCCAAAAAACAGCAATATTTATAATATTAATACTAGATTTAAGACAAACTTGCTGTTCCCAAGTATCGTTTAGAAAAAGTCAATAGGTCTTTTATGGGAATAGGTATAAAAATTTATAATAAGATACCTAAGGATATATTGGAATTACCCTTCAATAAATTCAAAACATCTGTTCAATCATATTTACTGAGCAAAGCCTATTACTCACTAAACGATTACTTGAATGACGAGCGTGCATGGCAATAGTTTTCATGTTCGGATTTCATTTAATGTTAGACATAGACACCTATATAAATACCTATGCATTGTAAATAAAACTGGCTTTTAAAAAAAAGTAATTCAATTGAGTTTCTTGCCAGTTCTTCTCAATTGGATCTATATACCGAACTGGACGGTAGGGAAAAAAAATTATAATGTAAAATCTTGACGTTCATAAGCGGCTAAAATGTCCTACATGAATAAATGATTTTTGAATTTGAATTCGAATATCAGTCCTAGTAAATGCAGTAATTGTCGTCTAAAGCCTTTATTTATAACTACAAATACGTATATAAAGAAAGATAAAAGTTGTCATGGATAATTACCTATTTGAATAAGTGTTCCTTTTTTAATTTTAGAAGTTACAAGTATATAAATTGCACTACTAATAAAATAATTGTTAATTCAATGTTAGTCTATACAAATTGGTGATAGTGAAGCAAATGGAGCGTTAAAAGCTTACTCTTATCAGATTCCTTGACACGCAGTCTGAGCGGATCGCGCGAAGTCGGCAAAACAAACGGATGTGTTTCATTTGCAAGCAGTTTCAAATCAGATACAGTGTATGCTCGCCCTGCACGTATAACGTGCCGTTCTAAGATTTGTTTCGTCTGAAAATAATTTGAAAGATCCGTTTTACTAACATCTTAATAGGTTCCTCGATCAATAGCATCATTCTATGAAGCAAAGTGAACTATCTAAATAAGTCAACATGAGAGCTCCATATTTCATATAACGATTTTATATCACGTTGACTTGAAATAAAATACCTAATACTAATAACTTATACTATTTATTTAAATACTTATTTAACAAAAGGTAGAGTATATTTTCCACCAGTCAAGGATAGGTTGTGCATAGATGCATTGTATAATAATATATTAGAATTCACTTAACATAAAATCGTCGTTATTTTATCATTTAAGTAATAATTTAGGATTAATAATGTTTTACAAGAATTTAATTCAGGCCACTTTAAAATTTTTTCAATGATATCCCTTACTTTTTTTAGAAATAAAAATAATGAATATCTTAACATGTAGATTTCAATTTGCATCTATTTTTCTAGTCTGTGTTGTAAATCCTAAATGAAGAAATCAAATGCGTATTTAACAACAAAAACTTACATTTATTATCGTATGAGTTTCTTTTTTAAACAATGGATGCAGTTCAGTTATGAAATATTTCTACTTTTAATAGTTTAACTCTTGAAATCTACATGTGATGACTGATTCGATTGCTAAACTTGCAAACGTAATAATAATAGGAAATAATAACTTACGAAATAACCAAAATCTTCCTTAAATAAGGCTTTAAATGCCGATGGATGTCGGATTTGAAATTTAAGCCAAGCGTGATCACGAGGAACAAAGTAAGTATAACGGTGCTCCATTTCGTTTAATTGGTGATTGAACATCTGCCGTTTGCCGAGATTGTACGTAACGCTACAAATATAATAAAACATATAAACATTAAAAAGAGAACAAAAGTAGCATATATATTATTTCTTATCTTGGGACAAGAATTTCATACAGTCTAGTTACAAAAATTGTCTAGGGCTGGTTTTCAAAGTGACAAAGTAACAGCTATTGTATACCTAATATTTCTCCGTTACTTCAATAACAAATTATTATATATTATGACCAGATTTCAATTTATTTACAGTTTCTTGTAATTTAGTTTTTTAATTTTATAAATATAACATTTTAATATATACTCACTTGAGCATTGGATCAGTCTTCAATTTCTCAAATACGGTCGTGTAGGGGACTCCCAACACTCTATCAATGATGTGAACAAATCCATTAGTAGCAGCGATATTTGGCTGTGTGACCGTAGCGTTGACTCCACCGCCTTCCACGGTCAATGTCTGGTTATGTCCACGAATCAATACATTGAAGTAAAGATATTTTCGAGGTGCTGCCGTTGGAGCTTGATAAATCTAAAAAATAATTCAAAAATGAAAATATGTTGTCAATACACTAAAATATCACAAACATGCTACCGCACGAAACATATAACGATATTCAGCTAAGGGCTTCGACCATGGATAAAAAACATATCCTAAATACCTACGTAACGTAAAATTAATAAAACAATGGACTATTTCGTGTCATGCAAATAATGACTTACATCTATAAGACATCAGCTATGGTATGATAAACATATTGAAAATAAATAAAAATCAGAAATTAAAACGATGGGATTGGTTTTGGTTTAAAATTCAATCAACGTACAGTTCCGGGGAGCTGATTCCATTACGCAGCGTTACCGAAGAATAAATTAAATAAGTACATGAAATTAATTTTAATTAAAAGTCGTACATTATTTGGTTAGTAGTTGCTGCAGCGTATATGACTGCCCAATGATTTAAATTGCAAAATCCGCAGCGCTTTGTAGCCATTGCGAAAATAAACAAAACGATAAAACCGACTGGATACTTACATACACCTCTATATTTTGTTTCAAGAAAAAGAATATGTATATTTTGTACAGTATTTAAGAAAAGTAGTTTGTTTGATTAATTAATTAAAAAAATACAATAAATTAGCAATTTATGATATATTACCTGATTCATGTTATTATGTATAATTGCATCCATTGGTAATCTTTCACGTACGAGATGTAAATTTAGGATTTCCATAAGTTTTTGATGATTTCTAAAAAAAAATGAAATTAAAAAAATTGTCCAGATTTTTAAATTTTAAAGGTTTAAGTTGTGTGTTGTTGAAAGTAAAAATCCAAATGGTAAATCTCTGATAGTATTTTAATATTGCATTAAAGGATAGCTAGCTTACAGATTTGAAATCTAACAAGATAAATAGGAATACTTTAGAAACACATCTCTTCATACTGACCTGATTATATTTTGGACACTATATTCATTCCAGGCTTCGTTAGAAGGCGCGAAAAGTGTAATATCTTTAGCCATAGTGAGCTCTTTGAAGAACTGGTTATTGGCACCTAAATCCATTATCACTTCATAAAACTTGCACAGCGGGCCATCTTCTTTTTCCTATGAAAATATATCAGTATCATATATTTATTAACGTATTAGTAAATTGAAATCTAATATTCTATATTTAATTAGTGGACTACAACTTATTATGAGTAAACAGCAAATGTAATAATATTATAATTGTAGTACCAAATGTATAAATTTAGCATACCACCTATAGTGCGACACTTCTTTCTTAGTTTTTGCTATTTTAGTTTCGCGTTAAGATAAAAAACTAAATTAAATTAGTCATTTTTATATTAAATTGTTAATATAATATTTACTATGAAGGTTTTGAAATTAATATAATTATAGTATCAAAATCAGAATATCGACAGTAGATACTTATTAGGAAACACTGTTATAAAATTATAAATACTTTACCTTTCATCAAAGTTTTGATATAAACATAAATATAATTAAGAGAATCAGTTGCTACTAAATAAAGGGGAATGCAATAAAGATAGTTAAAATAGTGACGAAGGCAAGAAAATTATTAATGGATACATGCAAAACGAGTGAATACTTACAATCCCCTAAAGTTGTCAATTTCATGCAGGATCCGTCAGGGGAACAGCACAAACATATGAAAAGTGGAACAAATATATCATAATATGGATATCATATAATATGTAAAACTAAAAATTGTTAGTACCTACGAATATTACTTGATTACTTATTTAGCTAAAGTTTTTGGGATATACATAAATATTTAAGGCATTCATAACATTATCGAACTACAATAAAACATATTTTATACTGCCATTAAACGCATAATATATTGCATTATTCATAACACTATTACTTTTAATTGGAAATTTCATTGTGGTAACTATCGCAAAACTAATAATCAACTGTAATTAATTAATCTTAGCATAAAACATGGCACGAACATATCTATCTCAAATATATAAGGTTTTATATATAATACATAATACAAATATATATTGATATAGTAATATTTGCACAACAGATAAAAGTTAAAACGTGCTTTCATTATTCATAAAACATTTTTAGAAACGAAATAATACTTCTATGAAATAAGAAGACACTTAAAAAGATGGATAGTAAAATGGAAATAAAGTCACTTTATTTTACCTTCATTGCCTGGTTTCCACATAAATGGAGCGAAAAGTCAATGGTGGTATTCAGAAGTTCATCATTCATCGGATCATAACGATTGTGAAGTTAATATTATCGTTCGTGAATAAATTATTTGAAGTCAAACAATGAGTAAGAGCAAAATAATGAAGGGGTTGGTAACAAAAGTAAGATTTAAATGTAATACCTTGAGGTCATTATTATTTTGATATTTGAGAAGACTTGATAAGTTTTTAATGACTAAGATTGTAGGAGTCATATAAAATATTATAGTATAATATATAATCTGAATATTAATTTAAAATTTGTGATTCAGTTTATTATTAGTATTAAAATATTTTAAATTACTTAAAAGATAGTAGAGGTACTAAACTCACCTTAAGAAAATCGACAACTGTAGTATCCACTACCATTAATGGTCTTTGGATTAGATGGACCACACCGTTTTTAACTGGAATGTTAGCCTTTACGATATCAGCCAGTACTACTCCTCGGCTGTGTTTTGCGTCGCCGGCTACCGTGTTTGATTTCACGTAAGCTGTTATAAAAATAATCTATTATTATTTACTTAATTTAATATATCTACATATTCTTAGGATTTAATAGTCAATTATTGAGAAGACTTACTGATAATGTACATATATTTTTTTATTGCATCATGTACACAAGTATATAACACATACATAACAATATTGTTAGCAGTTTACCATTACCCAAAATATTAAAAAAAAATGCGATTTACTTAATAGGAAATACTATGTATATTTACTTTATTTTACTCTGTATTTCCTACGTTATTAAGGCGAGAGGCGTTATTTATTTCATCACGTTTATCCATAAATCACAACGTATTTGTTCGAATTTTAATTTTTCTTTCATAAAATTACTGCTGGCAGTTTCCCGTTATAATGTTTGGATAAAAAATGGATCTATTTAAATGAGTATACACGATAGAAAAGATACAATCTTAAAATTAAGTATTTTCTCACACTATTAAGTAATATGCAAATACAAATACAAAATAGTAATTGTTGGTTTACACGATAAGCTTTATAATATTTTACAGATATCAGACATTTAGTTAGAATGTTTAAGATACGTACTGATCTCTTCTTTTCCATTCATAGCTGTACTGAATGATATGATAACTTTAACGTTATCACTAAAAGCTAACGTTTCATACTCGAGTGTGTCGCGCGTTGCTTGTGTAAAAAGTACGTGGTGCGGAATTACATGGCCATCTACAACTTTCCCGTCTATTAGATCCGATCTTGTTGTAGGCTGAAAGAAAAAAACCAATCCAGTATTTTCTATCACAAGTATTTTCATTACATTCACAAAAAAAGTGTTTTACCTTGAAACCTTCGTCAACGGGAATAAAGAAAGTATTTCTGCCGTCAGCATTGAACACTTCTTTCTTTTGTAGTTGGTTCACTTTTTGCCGGAAGGACCTGCGAAATGAAATATGTAGGTACTACCGCAAATTTAACTGGGATGGATATAAATTTAAAATATCTCACTGATTTATTGTTGTCGGAGTTTCGGTGGTTTGTCATATGTACATATAAGCAGCTATGGATCCGTCGTTTTAGTGGGCATACCCACTAAAACGACGGATCCATTTCATAACAATACTATTTCTGCATAATATATTTTACGTATTTTAACTGCATAATCCCACCTATAAACATCACTGCCGGATTTAACCGCTTATGTCTGACTGAGTAATAATAAGTTCAACTTTAATAGGATCTAGAAAATTGCAAAAGAAGAAGAGGGAATATGATATGTTTTTGATCGTGTAAATCGTATAATTTATGGAATGATTATCTCTCTACGTTAGTAATATGATACTAGATAAATGAGCATATCATTATTTATCTTTAATAATAATACACAGGCAAAATTGCACCCTGTAATGTTATAGATATGATGAGTTGGAAATAAGACGCTGGTTAGGTAATTATCTTAAGGTTGTTACTGTATCAGCTCAAACTACCAAATATCGATTACAGAATTGGCCTTCTGGACTAGCGAAGGTAATTTTTATTCTGGCATTAAGTTAATTATTATGCGAGAATTTGCAATTAAAGTTAAACTGAGGTCACAGAAAATATAAAAAACTGCTAAATGATAGATCACATAGTTTAGCAGTTTTTTTATATTAAATAAGTTATTATTCAATCTATCATCACAGTTATATTGAATAATAATTTATTTTTATTAATGAGGTCATTTTCATAAATAATACCAATTGTCTATTATAGTTTACAAATTACACCCAAAAACTTCATGCATTATATATATTACACATAATTTATATTTTATCTAAATAATGCAGTCTATGGTGTCAAATTTGTATATTTAATAAATGTTTTAACAAGGCTACAAACCTATTTATAAAACCTAATAATATAATATAAAGGTACTTGTTCTGGTTGACTGATCTATAAACAAACAATTGGAGTTTGAAACAAAGAACATTTTAAAAATATTTCGCTTTTATTATTAGAATATTTATGAAATAAAAAGATATACAGATAAAGATAATAGGATTTACTATAATTTACATAAAAAACAGGAGATTAGGGATCCTCTTTATTTTCACAGTAAACAACTTTGATAAAACGTATCTCAGAATCTTATTCTTAAAAATCAGTTTCAATCGAATTTAATGAGTGAGTACAATCAATACTTCTATATATACTAAAATTCGAAAGTGTGTCTGTCTGACTGTCTTTTTGTTACGTTTTCACGTCCAATGGCTGATAGCATTGCTAATCGCTAATCGCAAATTTAAAGAAAACGTAACGTGAAAATATATTTATCACGAGGGTGGACTTAATCTGAAAGAAGCCGCAGTGGCAAGTGACAGCTAGCACTGAATAGTTTTCTAAAGTAAGTCGTCTTCCAATTGTCTCCAGTAGATACATAAATATAATAAATGATAACTTTCAACGTACAAAACATCAAATATAATTGGCTACAACAGTAGCAACAACATGAAAACCGTATCATTGTTTCGCAGTTTTAACGGCCATTATTCAGTTAAGTGCAAAAAGTTCGACGGAAGGGTAACTTAGTTCACCACAATATACCGTTTTAATTGAAACACGCGAGCAAGTAATTAATGCAAGCATTGTTGCATAATTTTCTTGCTTTGCTTGCTTTACTCTCTATTAAGTATTTGGTTTGAAGTTTTTAAGGTTTTCTTTGAAACTGTTATAGAAATATACTAAATAAACCAGTTACTTCTCTCGCGTGACCAAGAATATTAATCGCAACCTTCTTCGCAACGAGCCTCAGACACTTAGTATACTTTTTTCGATAGAATTAGTAAACTACTAATTCTATCCTCGTAGTATAATCTATCTTCATGTTAAATTTCATTCAGATGCGTTCAGCTGTTTTGTCATGGAGAGGTAATATATGAATATATAAATACACTTTTTCATAATATGAATATAGATGTTTGTTCTTCATTACTACTTATTTTACCTTCCTAATACTAAGTGAACGTCAAATTTCACGACGATTAGTTAAGCTATTATGGCAAGGAGAAAAACAATTTCACTTTCACGTTTCTACCATTATTCTCTCAACTCGAAACCCTATGAATGAGAATAATCTCAGGTAATTTAAAGCAATTAGAGCAATTCTTGTAAACGAAATAGGATGTATATCGGCGAAAACTCAATTTATATGTGCCTGTTCAGTGTTACATTTCAATAGTGATTTAATTGGTATATTATCAATAATCTCTAATAGAGAAAAAATAGTTAAAAACGAATTAATAAATAATTTAAATTACGTTGGCTAGAATGTACGAAATGCAAAACAAACGATATTTATAAATATTCTTACCTTAACCTATGTTGTCCTATATTAAACTCATCCGAGTGTTGCAAAAACTGATATGCATTAGGATTATACACTGAACTGCTGCTGGAGCCAGGACCATGAGGTTGTAGCGGTTGTAGAACTTGATCTATCACGTGAAGAACCTAAAAATATATATGAATACGATAATGACATCCTTAATTTCTCGAAAAATCATAAATTGTTATTTGTCTAACATTTGCTAAGAGATATTACCGGGAATTACAAACAAAACAGTAAAAGTGTTTTGTAGTAAGAGAATTTCGATATGAAGCATATAGAACATTTTACTCAAAAGAACTGCCTACATTTCGGCTAGTACATTAGATATTCTTTTCTATTTGTGAATTAATAAAGTATGCCCTCTTTTCCATAATTACAAATCCGATTATTCGAAGACTGAATTAATTTTCTGCCTAGTTTTATAGAATCGAGTTCTGGAGTGAGAGAGTCTATAAAATGCTTCGAGGAAACGCTCGCCAACTTTAATAAGCAGATGCTATCTTAGACAATGATGGTTGCAACATAGTCTGATATAATATGAGTGCAGGTGGCGGGAATGTCAAGTTAGAGGACAAAGTAGACCCCATTAAAAATTTTTGCTCCCTCGACTGTCGTCCGCCTTAATAAATGTGCGGGGTTGTACGCCCCGACAAATAAAACCAGATTAAATTCGTAATGACTGTGTCTGACGCATTTGCGGCTACTGTGTGGTCACTGGTAATTTTGAGTCGTAATAATAACATTATCAACACATTTAATTTAGTTATAAAGTCACGAATATACAACGAATCAGTTTTAATTTATTTAATGTAACATGATATAATATTTTCACAGACAATGTTATCAAAATGGCTATCCCATTTGGTAGCTATCAATCATCGAAATTAATAATCATCTGATAGAAAATTATTACCATCGCTTACGATTTACTTCGCTCGTGGATTTTCAACAAGCTTAAAATGGAGAGAGTTGAGATATTTAATTCGGCTATATATATCTGCTACATATTTCTGTGTCCGTACATAACATACATATGTATATGTATAGGGATATGTAATTGAGTAGTAATAAACATCACCGTTTGTCGATGATGATGACACACATCAGTAAAATGTAGTGAATTATACAGTATATATTTCATACATAGTGTAACTAATCTAAAAGAAAGATCAAATCAAATCAAATCAAGAAATCCCAGAGAAAATCAAATAATGGCACACCCTATCATCAGACCATTATTTTGAATGGCGGTTTAATAAACTTACTGATTAATATCACTAAATTGTACCCTTTTATTTTTTTGCTGTAATAATTACCTGTCGTTTGCCATTTCTATTCACACTCTGAAAGGACCTGGATACGTAAACTTTAGCATTGTTTATGTAGATATCATCATGCATGTGATCCTTTCTTCTCGTTACCCAGAGTGGAGGGTTTCCATCGAACTCTGATGATAAAGCGTAATCCAAATTCGTAAGGGTAGTAGCTAAGTTTGCTGCAACAAGTTACAGTAATTAAATAGTGATAAACAATTATAAAGTATATAAGTGGGCGAAACTATCTGTATGATTAAATCATTTTGACTTCAAGTCGCTGGTTAAGTGTAACTGAAGAAAAAAAAATCTTTATTTGAATAAACTTAATTTAATTTTTTTTATTCTACTATTACTCTTTCAGATTCGAATTCAAAACTCACTCTTACCTCAAATCCAAAAAGAATAGGTAAAGAGCACCTCTGTATATTTGCAGAAACATAAGTCAGTTTCCTTTGTCATTATAACGTAACGATTTTTTAACACAAATCAGCAGATTTCTTTTATAGAACGAGAAATTCTTCCGGAAGCTCGATTTGTAAGTACGAATACCGCCACATACACATACATACATTATGGAATCATGGTATGTCAGTAATATAAGTATACTTACAAATATGATAAAGTACTAGAGAATCGTCCATTTCTCCATTGTACCTCTGAAAGGCTTCGTTTGTAGGCGCAAACATAGTGAGCTGCCGGTATTGCAAACTCGTATTTGCAACTGCATTGCGCTCCACCAATGAAAAGAACTGTCGACAATTAAAAGTCAAAATTAAAAAAATAACACTTAACCAGGATAATGGATATTTTCTCTGTAAATAATGAAAATAATAGTAACATGAATATTAATGTATACTAATCATATTGGAAACATTCTCTAGTCTAAAATTAATTACAGGAGCACTTTTCTAATTTCATCCGATCAAGTATGAAAAGACTTATCAGAAATATCCATTATGCCAATATTATAAAAGTGTGTTCATTTTATAGATTTAAAATAAACAATTCATGGTGGGACTTTTAGTCATGATTTTCAGTATTTCTAAGTAATCGTAGATATATTGGCAAAATATACTGGTTTAATACATAAATTGCTATATAATCATATGAAAAGTTACTATTTTGGATCATACTTTATGTTCTGGTTTATAGTAATCATATTAATACACATAATAATAAATAGTCAAGAAATAAGTGATAAAAGTAGGTTGTTTTTGAAGAAGCGTTGGATGGGATGAAAACATTATGTTTAATCAAAGATACTCTTAAGTTCAAAGTGAAAAAAAATATTTCAAAAATTATTAATAATATTATTCCATACATTTGTGAGTTACAAAAATAGTAGCAAGATTATTGAATATTGAATTATGTCCTGATGAAATACTAAAACTGATTACTACTGAAAATTTTGTTTGAGAAACGGTCAGTAAACCTTTATGTATCTATATATTTATGAAACTAAATTTAACTGAATATGATCTCAATACCGACAATTATTGCAGCGTTTATTTCGAAGTTACTTTCTGAGGCAGGTAGAAAGTGCAATGAAATATATATTATACATAATTGTATATAATTAAAATAAAGGTAGTCTTCTGCCGAGTGGCAAGCACGAGTCAAACTCCACTCTTAATCTTTAAAGATTTCAACATAATTGTAAGTATTTACTTAAGAAAATATTCCTTTCGCTTGACTTGAATCATGCACCGTAAGTGAAAAGCGAACAATACGAGTACCTAGTATTATGAATACTAGAGGATGCTATTTACATACAAGGTACTCTAATAGTGCAATTACTAGTTTCTGTTATTGTTCACTAACACAAATTACCACATACAAGGCTTGCTTTTGCTTTTATTCTAGTCACAATATTGATAAGAGAATGTCGGCGTTAAACATACAGTGCTCACTCAGTATTAAGTTTTATAGGCTTGATCATAAATAATGAATATAAGTACAATGGAAACTAGGAAATGTTAATAGAAATCACGTTTCATTGCGTGGTGGTGGTATAACAATGGGTTCCCTCGAGACCCGACTGTTTATAAGTACGGACTAAGTACCTACTGGCCTTTACGCTGTTACTATAAGAGTGAAATCAGAAAGCCCTTGTTAGAATTTATAATGTCATAATTGCATATACTAAAATATGCATATGAATAACACTAGAGGTAAACTTGTTGCAAACATAATAACACGAATTTGAGTAAAATTGGCGGCATTAAAGTATATAACTTATAAGTACAGAGGAATATAGAACGTCTTCCTATTTTCAGTCATTTCAAAACTGTCGTTTCAGTATTATTAAGATATAATAGAGTTTCTGCCGAACTTAATTGCTATCGCTTTATCAAAGTTCATGTTAAGTCTCAGTTGCAATTATTATAAATGAAGAACGAACACTAACAATTTCTTAAAGTCGTAGCCAATTTATGTCATTTTTATACACTATACGTATATATAGAGTATATTACAGTAGTTCTCTATTATAGAACCATAAAGTACACGAATTTTAAATTATTTTATTAGAAAAAAAGAATATGGAACATTCTTAATCTGAATAACTAACAAAATGGTTCCTAATACTCAATGATAACGTGAATTTGGACTTTATAACATATTTTATTGAGATTTATCTTAATAAAGTAAATTCCAGTTTTATTAGTTTTTAAATATCCAATAACATGCGTAACTGCCCAAATTAAAAAAGGATAACGTTTTTATATTATATTAAAATGTAATAAGTACATGAAATTAGATAGATCAAAGCAGAAATGTAGCTAACAGAAAACAAATGTCGAAATTAATACACGTTTAATGTTAAATTTAAAGGTTGGAATTTTAAAAATAGCGTTTATGCATGGAATTTTCATTACCTTTTTGCTTTGTAAGAAGTTTCGTGATAAACATTGTGCACCTGAGGCTAATTTCATTATTTGCATTTATTTTAGACCAAGTTACGGTAAGATTGGTCAGTAAAAAAAATAATAATTTAAAATTTGTTTTTTATACTATCATCTAAGTTTGCCTTTATACTATGACAATAAAATGCATTTATGCCAGTAAATTCTGTGAAAGTTCACATGTAAATGAAACTTTTTGTGTGTAGATATTGAAATTACGTTGTTACACATATCTATTTAGAGACAGATATACTCGTATACAAAAAGCGAGGCCAACAGAACTATTTAACGAATCAGTGCAATTACTTATATTACGACTTTACGTCAACTATGCTAATATATCTCTGACCTATTATTTGTGTAATAGTACAAGTTTTTGGACATAGAGCATTTTATGGTTGAGCTAATCTTTATATACAAAATAGTATTGGGCAAATAACGGCAAGACTGTACCAATATCGGATAATTTAAATATTTAAAAAAAATTCTATTTTAAATTAAAAATGGTTATATACAAATAAACATAACAAAATCAAATTCAATGTTTTTCCATTAGAATTAAGTTACAATGAGCGTTGCATTGAAATTCAAAATATAATCTAATAGCTACAACATACACGATAGCAGGTGTTTGCGAGGTGGGCAGATGCCAATACTCGAAACATTGTACCGACCCTAGGGGCTAATCAAAAATTCATTCAGCGCCATAAGCATCCAGTTAAAATTTTCATTAATAATGACTTGAATACGTCAGTTTGTGCTGTTATTATGTAGTAACTACTTACAATTAATGGAACCTTTAATTAAATACACAAATTGGTTTATTTTTTCGAATCATTGTAGGCTACAGTATATGGAGGAGGACTTTAATTCAACTATATATTTATGTGTACTCAATACTGGCTTGAACGTATTACCACTGTTAATTCTGTTTATCAGTCTTACTAGCATGGACTTCTTTGAGTAAAGTTTCTTTGATGTTTTACGTAAGATAGGTAATAATTAAAATATGTATATAAAAAAAAAAAGAGTTATTTTTACATATACCAAGACTCTAGCCCTATTAGTTTACGTTGCATTTTAACAAAGCATTTTGTGTTGTTCAATTTCCTAAGTACGAATTGTAAAAGTATATATAAAATTGTTATATTAAAAAGCAGTTCCTTTAAATTCCCGGACGTGAATTTATGAATGTTTTGTACTGTGAAAAAGTCAGTTACATAAATCTGCAGCAGCATTGCTAGTCTCAGAGGAGACCGCAGACATGTAGTCAATATTTTAGGTTTGAGGTCAGGGGTCGAAAATTTGTAACAAAGGTTTCGTACAACCTTATTCTCGGAATTTTAAATTGAGAACACCCATGTTACACATCCCATAGTATAATATCTGTGTATAAACTTGAGTAAGAGTTATTTGGTACCTTAATCGGATTATTTTACACTCCCACGATTCGTTTTCTTATACTCAAGGAAAAAATACTGTATTAATAAACAAGATAAGTAGATTATGGAGGGATGAAATCTCTCGTTTTCACGAAATTGGTGAAATAACTCGTAACGTACCTATTTAGTGTATGAAAACATTCGTTGACATTTGGCAACGGTAAGTAGGCTACGATTAACTTGTCTGGCAAAATATAAGGGTAAGGTTCATATAACTTTTAGGTGGCGCCACCATGGCGCCGTTGACGTCGTAGTGGCGGCGCCGAGATTTGGCAACGTGTGGGGTGAACAACTGACCCATTTGTGGATTACTTTACTGATCCCGTAAACTAATTTTCAACAGCCTACAGACCAATTAGAAACTAGCTAATGTAGTTAACGTAACGGAATGTAGCTAACGGCAATAAATAAATTACCATCCCCTATGTAGTACACAGTATCACGGATGTCACAGAGTACACTGTAATACCACGAGTGTCAAAATATATTTTGTGACATCCCTAATGTGTTTGGTATGTATTAGTAAGTTATCTGTTATAAGTACCAGTAATATTCAGTTATAGCCGTCTTTGATTAATATGATTAGTCTGCACGCGGTAATGTAAGGTAATTCAGTAATTTAATTTCATAGTTAAAGATACGTGTGTAGACAGTATTATAGGCTTGGAGTTAGTATCCTGTACATATACATTAATCCTGCGAGCACTTGCTGACATTAAAGCCTTGAAGATTAAAAGATTTATTTATTAACCTCTTTATGGTTTAAAATGTAACTCTATTACATAAAAAGCTTCAGAATCAATTTTCAAGCCTGCTAAAATAGATGAGATAGAGGTAACCATACAGATGACTTTTAGGTGGCGCCACCATTGTACAGAGGCTAAATTAGTGAAAGTTACCAAAAATTTTCTTTTTGAGTTAAGTATAGTTTTCTTACATATATAATGGATAAAGGACACTTACGTCGTCTTTTTACTTTATAAAAATTACCAATCGATCGATTCTAGTGAAGGTCCAGACACGACCATTGTCCTTTAATAATAAGTTCAACCAAGTAATTAAGATTCGATTCATAATTAAACACAACGCTTTAATTGAATAGCATATTTAATTTTACACAATAAAAACAATAGGTTATTTATATCAATCTGCAAGTAATGGTAGTTCACGGTACCTTCTACAAACCTGAAACATGGCGCTCCCTTCTAATTAGGGAGCGCAATAATGGTTCCACAGCATGTGACCACACAAGGAAAACCGCAAATGGTGCATTTGGAACAATAGCTTCTAATAAGGTACCGCTGGAGGCAACAACTTCTCTACTAGTACTTTTGTTATCTTTGCTGATGTGAGTATCTACTTTACTCACTGCTTATTACAAAATTCCTATGATTTGTACGAGTA